CTTAAAAAAAAAAAAAAAAAAATCCAGGCAGAACAAAACTTGAGCAGAAAAACAAAAGCTTAGTCTGTTTTCCCATCCCTTCTTCCTACTATATGGTAGGCACAGTTCATTTGTCTACTTGTTGAGCAGTGGGAAGAGACTCTTGTCACTTTGGATTAACTTTGGCATGGCACCTAGCACAATGCCATGTGTCTAGGGGAATGAATAAATATTTGTAACCTTTGGGAGCACCTGTCAATGCCTGCTGATCTCTATACTTCTTTTCTGCCATCTGCCCTCCTAACCTTTTTTTTTTTTTTTCCTTTCCTCTATTACTTTTCTAGGGGAAAGTTGATTTAGGATCTTAGAATATATGTTTTCTGTAATGATACGGCTCTGGGACAGCTGAGCCCTAGAATGGGTAGGACAAAGACAGTGAGATGTAACATAAGTCATCCTTTTGGAAAGTTCTGATCAGGAACCCAAGTTATTTTGGGAGTTAGGGCTATCGTGATGAGTGTTCTTCTCGTATACTGTTCTACTAGATCTGACAAGGTCATGTAGTGCATAGGATACCTCTGAAATAGAATGGCTCAAATAAAGTCCTAGAAAGAATGTCAAACACAAGAATGTTCTGACTCAACGTACCCTTTTTAAGTTTGTCATTGTTTAATCAAATACTCTGTAGAAAGAGATTTCATGGAGCTCAGGAGCCTAGAAATGTTGATGTGTATCTGGGATAGAAAGGAAGAAATGAATTTGTTTTCAGTTAGGATCTATAGTCAAAGGATGATCAGTGAAACAACCATTTCCAGCCACAGAGGGGAAAGATGGTATCATTTAGTAGAGAATAATTATACCTTGCATTTGCATAGTGCTTACTGTTCCAAAAATATTTTCACATACCATTTTATCCTCCCAGTAACCCAGTGAGGTAAGTATTTTTAACTCCTATTTTAATAGATACGGGAACTAAGAGGTGTTAATTGACTTATCCAAAGTCAGTAGCAGGTAGGTGTTAGAATTAGGACTCTCTGATTCCAAGGCCATCAGACTCCTGTATGTTACACCTTTCTGCAAATTTTATGCTACAGCATGTAGGCAGGTTTGGCAGAAAAGGGAAGTCCTAGGACCAATTTTAGTGATACTAAAGACAGATCTGAAATTAAGAGTCTGAAAAGCAGAGTAACTTCTCTGCTCTTGTGGAAGGGGAAGGTGTTAGGGTTGTGCCCAGAATGTGTGCAATCTTTTGATCACTCTGTGGACTGATAGGAGGGAGGCCTCAGCGCTCACGGGTGACTCTTACAGAATTATCTCTTGGATTCTGTGGTGCCAGTAATTTTCTGTCTTTTTAACTATTCTGTCTCCAGGAGCCTCCAGAAGATGACGCAAACATCATTGAGAAGATCCTGGCGTCTAAGACCGTCCAGGAGGTCGGTGGCTCATGTACCAGCTTTTCTATCACTAGCACAGGTTATACCCTCTGTGAAGAGGTACTTGACTAGAGAACCTGGAATGGTCGTGACTGGCCAGAGTGAGAGCTAGGCAACAACATTGTCTGGCTAGTCAGTACTTACTTTTACCCCCATGGAAGATTTTAGATCATAAAATTCTTAAATACTTGAGAGTAGAACCCCAGATAATTTTTTTCCTCCATAGTGATCCCAGCAAAAGATATTTGCCCTTTAGTTGCTGTAGCCCATGGAAAGTCCTCAGGGGGCCAAAAAGAAGACATGGAAAGAGTCCTATTGAAAACCTCTGGGGGGGTTTCTTTAGACATGTCAGGGCCATTGTAGGGATTCTCTAGAGAGCATGCCTGGGGTGAGGGTATGTGTGCTGGTGAGAACACAGTTTTACCTTCAAGTATTTATGAGAGCAAACTTCCTTACTTCGAGAGTGAACAGCACCGACATTTCAGGGTGGTGGTTTGGGGGCATGCCAGAGACCCAGGTTTTCACTTCCACGGCAGGCTCTGGTCCTGACAGCTCTCAGAGCCCTGGGCCGGTTTGCTGTCCTAGCCTGGACCCTGGAAGGACACCAGGAGGATCATTTTCTTTTTTACCTTCTAGCTAGCTGTGGATTCGTCCTTTGGGAAGGCTGCTCAGTAGCTGTCAGGAAAAGAACTGGGAACATCCTCAAGAAATCTGTACTAAACCTCCTCAAGAAATCTGTACTAAAACCAGCAGGGGTGTTGATTTACCTGTTTTCTTGTGCTGCATAAGGGTGATCTGAGGGGTCTGGCCTGTTAACTGCTTGCTATTGGTTACAGGTTCACCCAGGAGAACCCCCATTCGACTTGGAGCTATTCTACGTTAAGTATAGAAATTTGTACGTCTTTTTCTTGTATTATTTGTGTTTGGATTTATATGAATAAAATTCACTTTCCCTCATCACATCATCTTCTGTATTTTCCAAGAATGGCCCCTGAAGCCTGACCCACAGATCTCAGTTGACTCAAGTTCACCTTAGACAGTGGTGCTCACTTTTGGCTGCACAGTCACCAGGGAAGCCCTTGCTCCACTCAGGACCAGCTGACTCAGACCCTGGGAGTCGATCCCAAGGATTGGTGCTTTATTAAAAACTCCCTGTGCCATTCTCATTTGCACTCAGGGTGGAGAAGCACAGTCCTATAGCTCTTGAAGTTTTCTTTCTTCCTGTGCTATGATGTGTATGAATGATAACCCACCTACGCCTGCCCTCCCCCCTGCTCTCAGGCAGGTCCTGTAGAAGCTGCAGGGGGACCGGTCATTTGGAATCGCAGCACTGTTTCGTTGTCTGTTTGTGCCCTTAGCACAAGGCCCTCCTCAGCCCAGTCTCTAGCAGTTTCACTACAGACCACTACCTCTGGGTTAGATGGTCACCCTGTTCACTGAAACACTTAAAGCTCAATGATTTGGTAGTTTGCACTTGTCTCACAATTTGTGTGTCTTTGGATAGTTCCTACTTACATTGTAAATGGGCCACAATGGAAGAGCTGGAAAAGGATCCTCGCATCGCACAGAAGATCAAGCGATTTAGGAATAAACAAGCCCAGATGAAGCACATTTTTACTGAGGTGAAGCAATATTTACCAACTAACTTGACCGCTGCTTTTCTTACAGTATTAAATGCTGAGTTTAAGTTTCTTAAAATCAAAGTCCTGTGCAGATCCATTGCTCAAGTCACATTGCTAAATGTGCACTGATTTGCAGCAAAACCAGTCCAGATTTAAGCCAAAGAGAAAAAATAATCCACCAAGTTAAAAGGATTGAGCCTTACAAACTGACAACTCATAAGAATGTGCATCCTGGTCAGAATATCTATAAATAGCTAGGGCAAAAGAAACGTGCACAAAACTCTTTCATTCCCTCCTCCCCCACAAAAAAAACAAATCCAAAAAGACATAAACTTTGAATGTAAAAAATAAAAACTATTATTAAATATATTAGAGAGTAAAATATTAGGGAGTAAATAAGGAAATTTATATAAGCTTGGGTATTTCTAAGTATGGTACCTATGGTGAGAGGAAGAATTGATGGATTTGGACATTAAACAAATCTATAGTGTCTATATATTAGAAAATACTACTAAACAAATCTTAAAAGTAAATAATTAGGAAATATGTGCATTACATATGTATACGTATTTCGTAAAAAATATATAACTTACACATATACATATATATGTGGCATACATTCTTCATATCCAGTATAGGAACCTTCCTGTTTATATTCATATATACATACACGCACATGACAAATAATTTTAATGATAAGGAATGCTTATTAATCATATAAAAATGCAGTCACTTTCACTAGTAGTTTAAAAATGCAAACTAAAATAGGAATTTTCTGGTTTTTATTTACCAAATATTTGAAGGTTTTAAAAATAATTATCACTCATTGCTGGTGAGAGTATAGGGCAGAGACAGTCTTGTATCTAGCAGGTGGGAACATAACCTAGTACGACCTGTCAGAAGAACAGATGGCAGCAGACGTGAAATGTCTCAAAATGTTCACATCCTTTGTCCGGCAGTTCTAATTCTGCCATGTATTTTAAGGAAACTGTTGAGTCTTTGTACAGAATTAGCTATGATATTCAGTCATTAATATTGGTGAAAAATTGCAAACAAACACACTGTTAGATGATAGACATTTGTTAAATTATGTGTACATCCCATAGAACAGAACACTGTGCTCTAGTAAAAGTGATGTTGGAGAACAGTTGTTAATGACGTAGAAAGAAGCTACAGTGCTATATGTCGGCCTCTTACAGTGTCGGGGGCAGTTCCATTTTGGGGAGTGCAGGAGAAAAGAGGCACCGTAATAATGTGCAGAAAATGTCTTGAATATACATGAAAACGCTGATGTCATTTTTCCCGGTTGATGGGATCATGGTGACTTCTATTTTTTCTTTTCTGTATAGCCTGTAGTTTTAAAATTTTATACAGATAACTTCAAAGAAAAGAAGTCATAAAAATTATTCTTAAAACGTAGTTGCAAGCACTAGTCCTCAAGAGCGCACTCAGGTGCCATCAAACTATAGTACATTGCTGCAGTACTTAACCAACTCATTCTTCATGTTGTGTGCCTTTTCCTCAAGTGACAGAAAATTACTTTAGGATAATGTCAGTAAGCATTCTTCTCATCCCAGGTTGGGGTCCTTCATCTTTAGTCTTAGCGTTCAGCCCCAGCCCTCTCCAGGATTGTTTTAAAGAATGTGAAAACTGTTTCTCATGGCATTGTTATTGTCATAGAGAACTGGGAAAGAGAAGACAGAATTGGAAGACCGTCTTGAGGCCACACTGGATACTCTCTCTCTGTTCTTGGAACATTTTATTTGCACCTCTATTTTAGCAAGTATTTGCAGTGTAGGAACTTGTTTACATGTCTCTTTCTTCCATTTTAAGCCCTATGAGACAGACAGGGACATGTCTTCTTGTATTTCTGTCCCTGATACCAGGAACAGGGTCAGTGCTCAGTAATTATTTAGCTGCCCCCTGGTGAGGGATGGGGTTTGCCTTATGCTCTTCGCCTGCTCCAGACCCTTCAGCGACTCACATTTTCTTGAAATAAAGTCCACAGCCCTTCATATAGCGTACAAAGCCCCATGTGTCTGTTTTCTGCTTTATTCCCAAGGGAGTGATTTTTACTGGGCTGGGAATAGAGAGCTGAAGCTATGTTGCAGTGTGTAGAAAAAATGTACCAGGAGCGTGTAACTTGTGGAAAGGAAAGGCTTTTGAAAAGATTGGAGGACATCTTGAGATTGAGGAGGAGGAAGAGTGGGGAGTAGTTCCTATAATACTGTCTTCAGTCTTGACCTGTTCAACATTTTTATTAATGACTTAGATAAATAATATTCTTATGAGATTGATAATAACTTAGTTTTGGATAGAGCTTCTTCGTATCCATTATTTCCGGCTGCTTGATGAGGTAGCCAGGGGCACCTGTGGAAAAGACACAGGCTCGCGAGGCAGAGGCTTCCCTCCCTCTTCAGGGGTAGAGGCCTTCTCACTACACTTGGACTCCTGGAAACCACACCTGATGCTGGGAGAATAGATGACAAAGTCAAAGTTCAGTTTACTGGACAGGCTAGGATGAATGAAATAGAATGGCAATTAAATGTATGTAATGTCACACATTTGTAGTTTTTAAATCTTTATAACTTCAGAGTGGGGAAAAATGACTGACTAGCAGTTCTAGGGAGAAAAGATAGTGCCCGTTAAATGACAAGTTTCCTATTGGTCAGGAGGACGGTGTGCAGCTGCTTAAGAAGTAACAGTAATCTTTGTTCTGTTCATTTGAGTATCAGGTTCGGGGGGACTTGGACCTGAGTGCAGCTGCAGGAGGACTCTAACTTAGGTAAAGGAAGCACAGCTGAGTGCTTGTCAGCAAACATGGAAACTGGCCTGCATGGTGCTAGGAGTCTAGGCTTGCAGGTTGCAGGCTGCCAGGCTGCAGGTTCTGCTCCTGCCCCCCTGCCCCCTCCCCCCCCCCCCTCCCCCCTGCCCCGCCCTGCCACACACACACACACACACACACACAGTATCCTCCTCTGTCTAAAGCGGAACTCCTAATAGTATCAGCCTCACAGAACACCTGTGAGGAGTAAATGACACAGGGTTTACAGAAGTGTTTATCACGGTGGCCCATGGCCACTATTCATAAGTGCTAGTTCTCTGCATCACGAAAGGATCTGGAAACTTGGGGCCCCAAGAGCAGTCGAACACCTTGAATAGTTTCACCCAGATCGGTTGAAATTTGTTGAAGAGCCAGCATAGAAGGAGAATGAACTTAGTTACTGCTACTCTGAAGGAAGCAGTCATACCAGTGAGCCCCAGTTACAGGAAGGAAACTAAGCTATAATTTAATATAATAAAGGTAAAGATCATGATGCTACCACTGAGCAGACAGAGGTAAAGCTGTCTTGACAGTGGATCAGGTCTTAGAGGGCAGTAAATTCCCAAACAGGGAATAATGGAATCTGAGGGAGTGTTGCCAAGGGTGTTACAAAAAGCATTCCTGTGTTGAAGATGAAACTGGATAGTCCCTAAAGTGCCTTACAACCAAAGGGGCAATAAGTACATCCTAGCTGTCTGGGAGGAGGGCTTCTGGGTAAGAAAGGCCTGGGTAACGTTCCAGTTCACACAACTCTCTGTGGCTTTGGTCACATTACTTATTTAACCTCTCTGAGTCATTTTCCTCATCTGTAAAGTAATTACTGTATCTAGTCCATAAAGTAATTTTGAGATTTAAGCACTTAGCATTACTCCAGACACAAGTTAAATATTTCCAAGTGATGCTTATTATTTCGTAAGTACACTTTTGGGAAGCATAATGTACATGAAGGTAAACAAATCCTAAGGGTGCAGCTCAGTGAATTTTTACAAAATAAACACACCTGTGTAGCCACCACTTAGATCAGGACATAGAACATTATCAGTCCCCCAGAAGCTCCCCTCATGCCTCCTTCCAATGTTTGCTACTATTGTTGGTATATAGAAGAAAAAGAAACTAATTCTGAGTTTCCAAGGGTTATCTTTGGAACAAAAAGCAAGAAAAAGGGAATCCTTGTGCTGAGTTTTGTGCAGTACTATAATGACCATTAGGAGAGTCTTACTCTGGCCGTGGTGTAACCTATAAATTCAGTCATGGAGAGCAGGATTTGGGGACAGTGAAGAAATGTCTGTGCTGTGACTTTTATTCTCAAGCTACCCCTTCCATTCTGTGTTTCCTGATAAGCCCAGAGTAGGGGATCACTTACAGATGAACCCCTATATGTTGGTTTTGAGGGGAGGGGGAAACTTTCTAACTCTTCTCCTTTGATTGCACTAGCCTGATGAAGATTTGTTCAACCCGGACTATGTAGAAGTTGATCGAGTCCTGGAGGTGGCCCACACCAAAGATGCAGAAACAGGAGAGGTGGGTGTTTTGTCATTTTGACTCCCCTAAAGAGCCTTCCCTTCTTACTACATATTTTGCTTGTTTTGTTAACATGTGGTCTTTGTTTTAATGGCACTTATGTGTGATAGGGTGGGTTTTTCAGAGGTTGGCCGGGGTATGATTGACTCCTTTAATCTAGTAGAACATAAACTCCTCTCCTGTTTCCCACCAGGAAGTGACGCATTACCTGGTGAAGTGGTGCTCGCTGCCTTATGAAGAAAGCACGTGGGAGCTAGAGGAAGACGTAGATCCTGCAAAAGTTAAAGAATTTGAGTCTCTTCAGATTCTCCCTGAAATTAAGCATGTGGTAATGTATCCCTGTTGGGTACCTGTTGTATCATGTTAACTTTATGACCGTGGCAATCCTGGATGTCTGTGGGGCCGTGCTCAGAAGGGTCTTTGTTGGTGACTTACCTTTGGCCACTCTCCACTGAACTTGCAGTTCAGTATGTTTTTCTCCCCAAATCAGACTTCGCTAGCATTCTGGTCAACATTAGGTCTAGGCTCTATTTTGATGTGTGTGACATTTAAGAACCTTGAATAGGAGCTTATATTTCTTCGTATGTGGTGCTGTATACAGGAGTCAGTAAGATAGAACGTGTACGAAGTGCCTGGCATGGGAAAGAAGCTCAGTAAATGGTTAGTATCTTTCTTGTTTCTTTCTACCTCTTGCTCCATCAGTGATTTTTTTCTTTGTTTTTATCCTCTCTCTTTACTCAACTGGAATATTCTTAAGGGGAAGAACTATCTTCTACCTATAGATCCCTGGACTTCACAGAGAGAACATAGGTTTTCAAAATATATTTATTTAATCAGTTTGTTTTTCTGATTCTGGATTATTCCCCCCGAGCTGCATAAATGTCCCAGGGTACTTGACAAGTAGTTGTATATAGAGGGACAGTAATTAAAAGGATGTAGAATTAGAAGAGCCTAATTAAGATGTGACTCACTTGGGAAGAGAATCAGAGTTGTTGAATATGGCTATAGACTGGAATAAGTTTCTGTTTTTAAAAAGTCACCACATTTATATGAAAAACTCTTACCCAATTCCTTATTATTTATTTGTTGTTGTTTTTATATCCCGGGAAGGTCAGGACTTAGGAGACAAGAGCTTGACATTGAACTTAGATCTCTGTCAGAGTCTACTCAAAAGCAGTGGGTTTGTTGTTGTTGGTTTTTTTTTTTTTGGCATATGAAGTATATGGAGGAAGCTTGAGGTGCAGAACTGTGATTAGAAATCTACATAGTTTTTAATAGTGTTTTGTCTGCATGACTGGTTAATAAATTTCTCTTTCAACCCTCTCCTACAACTGTTGTCTGTTGTTAATTCATCAGTCATTGTTGGGCGCCTGGGTGGCTCAGTTGGTTAAGCGACTGCCTTCGGCTCAGGTCATGATCCTGGAGTCCCGGGATCGAGTCCCGCATCGGGCTCCCTGCTCAGCAGGGAGTCTGCTTCTCCCTCTGACCTTCCTCCTTCTCATGCTCTCTGTCTCTCATTCTCTCTCTCTCAAATAAATAAATAAATAAAATCTTAAAAAAAAAAAAATTCATCAGTCATTGTTAAACATCTGCTATTGGCTGACTCTTGAGTGACATACAATAAGAAAGAAGGTGCACACCCAGCCCCCAGGAGCTCACAGGTTAACAGGGTAGGCATGTGTGTGCGTGGACACACATGGACGTGTGGCATAAGGCAGGGACAAACTGGTGTGGGGCAGAGTAGAGAGCATTTCCATTCTGAAGCTAATTGTAAGTTAGTATCTCCGAGTAATCAGGATTCTTACTCAGCCTGAATCCCACTTAATTCCTCAGACTGTCTACATGCATTTGGCAAGAATATGAATTCTCAAGTGTTTTCAGGCAATTTCCCTTTTCCTTTACTTCTTTGCTATTGGGATGCTGCTGTTTTCATTGCTCAGTGAACCATGGTATTATTTCACACTTGTCTCTTTGTTTCTGATTTATTTGTTCTCGCATTTAAAATGCACATTTTGAAATTTTATCTCAAAAATTCTGAATTGGAATGGTAGCTCACAACATAACTAAAGCTGTCTTTTTATGTGTTAAGAAAAGGACCAGCTCCAAATGAAAGTTTACCTGAATAATTTTTTAAAGGGATCTTACTCTGGGCTTTGAAGTTGACGAATAGGACATTCTATACCTGAAAGCTTTTTGGTAAAAATTAGTTACATATAGGTCAAATACAGAGAAAGCAAGAAGTGACATTGTCCGTGATGATTGTGCAAAGCAGGAGCAGTCTTTTAATAGGCCGGAGCCACCATGGAGACTCTGAGAATCACTTTTCCTCCTTCAAGTTAACTAAGTAGCCATTGAAGGCTGTGGAGCCCTGGGGTATGTTGTTTCCTGCAGTCTATACCACTTAGGAGTCAACCAGAAACTTCCAGTTGATTTCAGGTCTTGTGCTCAGATGGCTGAAATTCTGGCCAGTAGGTGATGTTCAACTAAACCCTTTAGCACTGGGGAAGGAGGAAAGGCTGGATTGACTGGATTGGAGCATGATGCCTCTGCTTTTGGAGTGCTACCAAGGCAGCAAAGTAGAAATCTGCAGTGAAATTCCATCCTCCGGTACTTAACAGTACTGAGAGTAAGCCATATAAGTCACTAGAGGAACATTCCAGAAAGTCTCCCCACAGGATCTAGTAAAGTAGGGGAGCATCCCCGATTAAAGGAGTATGTGGACTTTGGGGGATCCACGCTGACTGGTTCCTGTAGGTTAAGAAGAATGTGATTTCTTTAAGGGAACAGAGCAAGAGGGTTTATATAGGAATATCTTTGCTTAAAGCCTTTCTTTAAAGTCATTGTTTTCTTACATACTAAATTATTTTCTCCCTTATTTTAAAAGCACCTGTATCTGTACATTAGTAATAATACACTAGTAATAATTTTCAACAGAGTCCTGTTTTAAAGGGCTTAGCCTAATTGCAGCTGTAGTAATTTTGTAGGTAAGCTGTGATGTGTATTTTTCTGAAAGATCATGGACAGATTTCACTTACTTACCTCCAAATATCAATGATGTAATTGAGGATATGTTGTTAATTTCACATGCAAGTGGTTTAGTTTTAGTTAATAACGTATTTCAAGTATAAACTATGTTGTAGTACTCCACAAAGTAGAATTACCAAAGACTAAAACTGTTCAGAAAAGTTACAATCTCAAAATTCTCATTTGTAACTGTAGCTATAGCTAAGAATGTTTTAAGACTGTAAACTGTTAATTTAGGGGCTCAGTTTGCTATAAGGAAAATAACCAAGTCTGTGTCCAAATAATATAAAGCCTAAATAAATAGAATTTTTGGATGGGAAGTTTCCACACCTAAAGATTTAAATCTTCCCCTGATTAATTGAAATCTCAATGGGATTTTAAGAGAACTTGACAAATTGATTCTGAAGTTATACAGAATAGTGAATAAGGTAGAGTAGATGAGACATTTTTGAAAAATAATTCCCTAATCTGATAAAAGGATATCATAATTTAAAAATCGGATTTTATTGCAGTGGTAGACAGTCCAGTGGAACAGAATGAAGAATCTAAATAGAGCTCCATGGATATATTGAAATTTAGTATGTGATAAATATGGCGATTCCTATCAGTAGAGAAAAGATCAATTATATTTGGAAATCAGTATTTTATATGGGAAAATATGTTTATGGGATATTGAAGAAATTTGCAGTTTTGATTTTACAGGCTTTTTGCCTTATACTGACTCTAGGAACTAATCAGCAAAGTATTTAACCCACTGTACTTTCCTGAGCTGATGCTACATGCACAAAGAAATAACAAAAATTATCTGTAGAAGCCAAAACACCTGACTACTATTGGTTTGCAGGGAGATGGAAGTGTAAGTGAGAGTGGCATCCAGGAGTCTGGGTAAAACAGTACCAAGATTGTAGGTGGGTCTGTTTCTCTTCTTCATTAATTACTTGCAAATTTTATAGAGATGTTCTTAGTTTAGTTTGGTGAGAGCTAGAAAATATCAGAGGGTGTGTGTGTGTGTGTGTGTGTGTGTGTGTGTGTGTACACACCTTACTCAGATCATAGTAACTGCAGCTTGAAGCCAGCCAGCTTTAGGACAGTGTTTTGAGATTTGCCACCTTCCCCATTCTTATCCTGTATCCCTATTTGTGTTATGCTCCTCAAACACCATTCTCTGTATTTTGTTCTGTCTGCCTTCCTCCACCAGGAGAGGCCTGCTTCAGACTCCTGGCAGAAACTGGAGAAGTCTCGAGAGTATAAGAACAGTAACCAGCTCCGGGAGTACCAGCTAGAGGGGATGAACTGGCTTCTTTTTAACTGGTATAACAGGTGAGGAACCGGAACCAGGGTTGTCTTCACGGACAGTTATCCCCCCATGGTGTTTGTACTGGAGTGAAACTGTCGCCCGAGCCTGCTTAGAACAGCAGTAGCTAGCAAGGTGGTGAGAGAGTGGAACCTAGCCGTAGGTTTAGGGTAGTAATCTTTGTATATGAGGCATGCCATGACTCCACGTCAGGTGATTCTCCAACCACAAGGAATGATTTTTTAAAAAAAATTTTTTTTTTAATTTTTTTTTAAATTTATTTATTTGACACAGAGAGAGACAGCGAGAGAGGGAGCACAAGCAGGGGGAGTAGGAGAG